CAGCCCTTCCCTGGGAAAGGCCGGCTCCTGCACCGCCCCAGAGAAGGGAAGCAGCTTCAGGGGTGAAATGCCGAGGCTGGATGGGGTCTGCACACTCATCCTGGAGCCTCAGCGACTTCACCTGCAGCACCTGGGATTCCTGGGGCACAAAGAAGCACAAAGGAGCCGTGCTCTGTCGGCGTGCACGAGCCCAGCCACCTCTCCTGCCTTCTGCGCCTCACCAAGTAGCCACACCACTGAACAGTAGCCAGCGCAGGGGCTGGCACCGCAGAGCCCTCCTGTCCCACGCGCCCCTCCCCATGGCTGGGGGGCTCCCCAGCTGTGCCAAATCATCCCTCCCCAGTGCACAGACCTCACAAGGGTGGTTCTCACAGCCCAGAAAGGCAGTAGCAGCAGTTGGGTAACCCCTGAGCTTTCCAGGGCTGAAGAAAGGTTGACAGCACCAATTTCTCCCTCCACAAGGAGGATAGGGCACACACCTCTACTGCTGCCTTACCAAACAGAAGAGAGGCTGGAACAACCCATCACATACAGCAGCACTTGCTGGGGAGACAGTCTGGACACCACACAGCAAAGGGAGTCCTAGGAACAAGCCTGAGTTCACCAACCAAGTCCAGACCCTGCCAGGGGTTTGCAGCCTCTGCCTTCAGTGACATGATCACATCTCGGTTGCTCCTGGCCCCCTTACTGCACAAGATAGTCTGTCTATGCTGGTTAATAAGAAAATAAACTTTTATCTACACAGGGATTTATCTTATGTATTGTGCACCCTGAATCGCTCAGAGAATTACTAATTCCTGATGAGCTTTTCCGTGGCAAGACAATGCTATTTGTCAAGAGCAAACCGTTTGGGCTGAAACATTGTGAGATTCAGAGGCAACACTTAGGATAATTTTAGTTCAAGAGGTCAAAGCTGGGCAAGATTTTTTAAGAACTTATTCCAAGGCTTTGCAACAGACAGGTCTGGGGAACAGGCAATGTCCAACTACCAGCACGACCTAGTGGTTACACCTGGTCCTCTCCAGGCTTGCTCATACCTCCTCTTGACCATTCCCAGCTGGGGCCTTCCTATAACTGAAGCCTCCATCACACCAACACTTTGCTAGCTGCCTGCACAGCCTTTCCTCTGCCCAGCCTCTCACAGTCATGTGCTCTTTGCTTTACCCTTATCTACAGGCTTATCTTGGCAACGTGCAGTTGCAGGCATTTCAGGAACTTCACTGACCGAGCGTCTTGGTGGGGAATCCCCCACCATGTCCAATCCTGGCATCAGCGTCGATGAAGGGTGTCCAGGAATTGAAACACTTCACTGTCAGTTGGTCTCACTGCCTGCTGGCTCAAGAAATAGGGCAGTTCAGCCTTGCAACCAAAAATCTGCTTGATGTCTAGGCCATTCAACAGCCCCCTCGGCCCACTCCACCCAAAACCAGCCTCTCTACAAGCAGTGGGTTTACACCCTTTGCTCCTCCAGAGGTAGAACCCTATTTATCTCTACTGCTGAGGGCTCAGGTCCCTGGGGTGGGTCCTAGCACATTCTTTCATTATAAGACCAGACCTGTTCTGCCAGGTCTTCAAAGGGCCCACCTACCCTTTCTCCAAGTCTTGCTCCATTCAAGAAAGAGCTGCAACCCGTATCAGAGGTGTGGAGAAAAGGCCTCACAGGTGACTCTAAGGAGCTTAAAGGGAGGAGCTGGAGATCACATGGTCTCATCACCTGTGAAACCAGCAGGGGTCAACACTGACACTCCATTTCTAAACGCGTTTTTGGCTGTATCTGGATAAATGAGATTTTCCAGAGAGCCAGTCAAGTTGTGTGGCATTGCTTGGTCATGATGTCGCTTATGTAGCAATTACAAACTTAACAAGGTAATTAGCCATCATCTAAGGGAGCAAAACAAAGTAGTCCTCATTCTTCAGTGACGGACAAACGGAGGAGTAAGTTTGCTGACACCTTCCAGCATTAGTGTGAGTCTCTATTCACCCGCACTTCAAGAATACCTACCTTGGCTCAAGATAACGAATAAAGAGGAAAAAACACTTTAAAAATGGCTCCTTTTGCTGCTGGAGTTACTGACTGTTCTGAAAATGTAATTAAAGAAGTTCAATGATCTCAAGGTCTCTTGTGAATGCATCCATACGGAGCTGCAAAAATATTGGACCAGATGAGTAGCCAAAGTGGAGGGCTAGGCCTGGGCTGCTTTGGGTTACTGCAGAGACGCAATGGGATTAAGGAAGCATCAGTGATACTGTCTAGTGAGACTCTGAGAAACCATGTGTACAACGCAGACCCAGGATTCAAGGCGATTCCTCATCTTCCATTTTTTAACTAATAAACTTTGCGAACTGTTTGACCTATGCTAAGATCTATACAGACAGAATTCAGTCTCACAAGGTTACAAGACCATATGACTTCCAGGTAAAGCTAACTCTCACAGGAATTGTTTTCCTTTGGACAGCAAAACCCACACTGGGAGGACTGACTTTTACAAAACCTGTCACCCTGCTCAAAGGTAGAGAGGAGCTCTACAGTTTAAGTCAGGAAATTCTCAGAAAAGCCACATCTTAGAAACTATAGGAGCTTTAAACTCCAAGAATCACCCTCACCTCATTACAGCACCTACGTGTATAACACATTCTTGGTAGTAAATGATTCTTTAAGCCAACACCCAGAGACAGAATTAGATCAATGCCTGGAAGCTGAACCAAGACAAATTCAGCTGGGGAGAGTCTGCATATCAAGAGCAAAGTGAATTAATCACTAGGACAATTTATCTAAGGCAAACGGTAGGTTCTATAGTACTTGCAGCTTTTATCAAGACTGGATGTCACAATGGCTCTACTCAGGCAAGTGCTAGGAACCGAATGCAGGAAAGCCTAGTAAAATTCTCTAACCAGTCAAATTAGTAACAATAATCTTTCCCTTGATGACACTTTTTTATTACTACCTTTTTAAAACATCCTGGAAAAGCTACTCGTATTTTCATTATGAGCATCCTTGTCTTGTTTGTCATTGTACCTTTTAACTCTTAATGTTGGGGATAAAATATTAAACATCCTACAGAGAACTAAGTCGACCATTTTGCAGTTTTCTGCAATTCAAGCAATATGCTAGACAGATTCAAAGTACAAGTTCTGCAAAATGACCGTTTTCTACCATTCACCCAGAAGCGAGAAGGAAGAGAGCACGGGCCCGGGGCCACGGGCTCCTGGCTGGGCAGGGAAGGAAAGGCACCGACACCAGGCAGAGCTGTATGCTGGTTTTTAATGTTCCTAAGAACCAGGAAACGGAAATCAAAAATAGACTTTGCTCTTCTTGATAAAAGTAATAAAATGGTTAGCGGTGTTAAATTAATCCTTACAAAACAAAACCCAAGGAGGTTAAATAAAGCCCAGAGGCTCCGCATAAAAACCACAACGACTACAAAACAGCTGCAAAGACGTCTTTACACACCAAAGAAACGCCTGTCCTCCGCTCCTCTCCTACACGGTAAACAGCGTCGGCGAACACGGGACTCAGACATGTGGAAAAGAAACACGGATGCTATGGAAACAAACCCTGCAAGGAGCACAGTCGCCATGGACAGAACTATTTACACTATGGACACGGAGCTGCGCTGGTGCCAGTCCAGCCGGAGGAGCCCCCGGGCTCTGCCCGCTCTTCTGCCAACGCAAGGCTTCGGCCAGCTGCCGGGACCCCTCCAGCCACGGCGCTACGCGCCACTTCGTCACGCTTGCCGTCCGTCCATCTGTCCGTCTGTCCGCCCGCCCGCCCGTCCGTCCTTCCACCTGTGCACGCGTCCCAGCTCCGGCTGCCCCCTCCTTCCGCGCTCTAGTGTCGAAGGGGCCGCCTGCTCCTCCTGCCGTGCTACGTTTGGTTTCTCTGCCCTGCGGCGAGGGCAGCAGCCAGGCCTCCTCTCCTGGCCGGCGGCTGGGCGCTCCCCGGCACTGCTGCGCGGGGGCCGTGTGCAAGTGTGCAGAGGAAAGCAGGTGCTGTGGAGCTGCTTTGCGAGAGTCCCCCAGGCTGGTGCTACGACGCCAGCAGTCTCTCCACCTGCTCCAGCAAGCCTCCTTCAGGGCTGCCGGCACGTCCCTGCTGTCTCTCACCTCTGCACATTAGTTTGGATTAGTCTCCCGGCTGCTACTTTGCTCTCGGCCCAGCTCCCGCTCTTTGTCTGCTGTGGAGGAGGAAGAGGACGAGGACGAGGATGAGGAACTCGAGGAACTGAGGGTCCGGCCTGAATGCTTGTAGGCTGCGACAAGCTCCTGCAGCCGCTCCGGGGTAGGCTCCCACTTGGAAAAACCTGCACTGTTCTGCAGGAAGAGGACGGCAGTGTTGTGCACAGCCTTGTAGTACATCTCCTCTCTGCAAGGGAAGACGACAGGCGCTCAGCATCTCCCCGTGACCCACCCACCAAGGAGTCACACAACTACCTGCACATACACTTCCCATTTCCTCCCCCATCTCTTCCTGCGTGTACTTTTTAGGAAAAGTAGCCCTTGTCCCCTTTTTTCAAAATTATGAGGGAAAGGGTAGAGCGTCAGGCATTGCTCAGTAAAAGCAGAGCCTTGTAAGTTTTAGAGAAGGAGCACTGATGCTGCCTAACCACGCAGCTCTCCACCAGCACGTGCACCAGGGACACTGTTGTCTCCAAACGAGGAGCGTCAGTAAGGTAATGGCATTTCAGGACAATGGGAACCAGGTAAAGGGAACTTGGTACTTGTTACTCTCAGCACACCAACGGCCAGCTTGCGCTCCAGAGAACAAAGACCCTGACTGCCCCTTGCTTCTACTTCCTCTTAAGTGATACAGAATTGGTTAAGCATTGTGGCATTTGGCAGCCCAAGAAACAACTGTGCTCAGCTGCGGCTCACCAGGTTAGAGTTGACAGAGGAACACAGATGACAACCACAGCACCACATGGTACAAGCAGTTCAGACTGGACTTGTACCCAAGGAATACACTACTCACAAGCTTTTTAATTAGTGAAATAATCAGTAGTCATTAAACAAATATAAAAATCCACAGCGCTCTGTATGCCTGTCTTAAAAATCCAGGATGATTACGGACAACATTTTGCCTCGTCTGTTCCATACTTTGCATTGATTTCAACTTGGCAGAGGATACTCCTGTCATATGGCTGTCCAAGGTGCAGCTCATCAAAAGCACGTCCCCAGGAGGACCAGTATGCTCATGACTCAAGAGAAAGACCTACTTTTTGCAGACGTGCTGAGACCCACTGCGGTATTCGTGATCAAAGGCTGGCAGGATGAGCTGGTGCCGCTTGAACTTGCTCTGTTCCATGCGAGTCAGGGCTGGCGTAGGAGGGTCCCTCCACTCAGGGATGAAGACGATAAAGGAGAGGGGCTCGCTGGAACTCTCCAGCAGTTTCTAAGCCAATAAGAAAATGCACAATCTTAGCCTGGGTAGAGCAGCGACATGCCTAATGAGTTCTACGAAAAGGAAACGTTTCTGCTTCCAGAACAGTACAGCAGCAGCCACAGTCTTTTGCCTACCAAATTACAACCCTGCGGTGAGGATGCAGGAACAGTGGGTAGAAGGACACTGACTGCACGGCTCCATTCAGAACAACAGCAGAGGTGAGTGAACATACCTCAAAATGAGATACCATGGCATCCATCAGCTCCTCACAGAATGGAGGATTTGCCTCAAAAGAGCCACTTATTGGGAAGAAATCCAGGCACGGGCTGGAAGAAAAAGGCAAAGATCCCAGTCAGAGAAGCTAGCATTCTAACAGTAACATCTTAAAAAGCATGCACATCCTCAGAAAAGACAGTCGTACTCCCAGAAAGCCTGAATTCCCAGCAGTACAGGGCCTGCCATTTCCTAAGAGCACAACTGGGCACCAGGGACATACGCCATCTGTAGTCACTGAAGGCTGACTGCTGACTCAAGCTGACTGCTTGAAGGCCCAGTTCTCTCTTTCTTCAGAACAAGGGCAAACACTGACACACCTATAAATTGCATCACATCGAAGCTCAGACCCCCTCTAACTAGACTAACGGCACACTCCTGATTGTTTCATATCCAGTCTGTGTCCACTCACTGCCTTCAAGCAGGCCTGAAGCATGCATCCTTTCGAGCAGACATCACACAACCAGCTACCACCCCTGAACTCACAGACGCGTCAGCCTGTCTTGAGCCATTTACATTGCACCCACACACACCCCCACACAGATACATGGCAAGGGCACCGTAAGGTAAGACTCACCCCCTGGATCCAAAATACCCGTCTGTATCCAAGAAGGCCGAACAGTACTGTTTAAAATAGCAATTCAGGGGCGAGGCAAAGCATTCAAAACTCACTCCAAAGAGCTTGTGGAGGGCCTCGAAGACATGCACAGGAAGTGCCCCCTGCAGGCCAGTTCCTTCATACAGACCAACACCGAACATCATCTGAGGAGAGCAAACCCCGGTGAGCGATGCCTGCACTCGGCTGTGTTTCTGCTGCTCCCTTCACTGAACACGGACCCAGGGTCATACGTCCATGCACCCACTCCTCTAGGTATGCAGGGCCCCCTCTTCCTTTCTCAAATTCATGTAGGTCCCCTGTATGTACCCAAGAATGCTCTTTAGAGACTTCATCCACATCAGGCCCCACAAACCAACTGCCAGCTTTCACATTTATCTCCCCATGAACCTTCAGTTCAGCCTCAGAACAACACAAATCCAAACTATGGAAGGTTTCTTTCATAAAAGTTTATCTTTATCCCCACAGAGGTCTTCTGTCAAGATCACACCTGCTCCCCAGGCTGGAATCCCATCTCAAAACACTGGGAGCAGACAATGGACCTTGTTTAAGCCCTATTTTGCATCAGGCTCTGAGAATCATGGGTCTCTCAGAGCACTGACAGTAAGTTCAGTTCCCCAATATTACTAGAGCTTCCTGATGCATAAGAACCGTGATTAGACCAGTACCTGATAGCGACGGAGAAGGCACCAAACCCTGGGAAGAAACTTTTCAAAGCCAGAGTCATCAATGCAACTGTACCGATAGAGGAGCCACTGGAAGAGAAAGTTGAGCCATTAAAAACAATGAGAATCAACAAAGACAAGACAGTCATTGCACAGCCAGTACTCAAACATATTAAGACATTGGGAGAGACACTGATGAACAACAGGAGAAGGCAGAGCTCTCCGTGAAGGCTTTCTAGCATATCTGCTTTTACTGTGCGGGCAAACTATTTGCCGGCAGCAACGGATGTAACACCTCAGCATGGCTCTCAGCAAGGCCTGCCTTGCTGTGGACATGACCATTCTTGTAGCATAGCATGTATCAAAGCATACACACGACACTTCTCAAGTATTCCCAGAAGAAGCCCGCTCCTGACTAAGGTGGAAGTAGCTGTCCTGATTTCTGCTGCTATTAGGGCAGTATCTAACAGCCTCCACCAGGTCACCACTCCATCCCACTCCATCGTGCCTCCTCTCAAAGGAGCAGGAGAAATGAAACCCCTCATCAGAGTAATTTGTGACAACGCAATCACGCAGGACTAGCAGTCAACCCTTACCAGCTTGCTGAAGTAGTTCCGGCTCACTTTCACCATTTCCCCCTTGTACCGCACACACGCCACATTGTTTTCCATATGCATTTCCACATTGGGGAGTGGTGGAGAGGGGATGGCCAACCTCACTGGGTAACAATATACAAGCCTGTCCTGGACTTCAGGAGCTTCTATCTCAGCTACAGGGAATAAAAAAAGATGTAGCCCATTACAACACAAGCAGGATCCCCCTTCCATCTCAAAACACGCAGTGATAGGGCTAAGGCTGAAAAGCAGAGTGGTCCCTGCAAAAATACAGTGGTGGTCTCTCCATACATTGTGTAAGCAGCTACCTAGGTTCAGAGCCAATTCCCCAAATTAATTCCATGATGCGCTACCACAGCACAGAAGGGACTCATTTCACAGTATTTCTCTAGCTGTAATGCAGCAGTCCTGTAAACAGCACCATTATGCATCTTGAGCCATGTTCCAGACAGGTAAAATGCTTTTGTGGTAGCTGTTGTTATTTCAGCTTGCCCCGCATTCAGAGAGCAATAAACATTCCCAGGCTGTGACGTGCAGGAGGAAAAGAAATCTTTCTGCCACCTTGTGGTTAGGTTACCCATCTTGGATAAGTAGCTTAGCCTCCACTTCAGCAGAAACAAGAGAGCTCACAGGAACGATCAACAGGAAGGAATCTTCGACACAGTCGGGGGGGAAGACAGGCAGCAAAAGCAAGCAGCAAAAGGCAGACACAGGGATCTGGAGGGAGCTGTCTGATGAAAGCAGGGATTCGAAAAGGAAAAGGACTAAAGAATGGCGGGGGCAGAAGTATGGATATAAACCGGGAAGAAGGAACACAGAGAAAAATTCAAGGAATGTGAATCCTCTTCAAAGAGAGGAAAAAGAGTGCACAGTGATCCACTGGGATGCACAGGAGTGCAGATGGTGCTCAGAGACCAAGAAATGTAGCAGGGGAGAGTATAGGGAGGACAGAGGGCTTGGCATTAGGAAGGGGAGTGGCGCTGTCCACAGGAATTCCTGAAGAAGCAGAGCAAGACAGTGTCGTGCAGGGAAACGAGCTAATGCCCCGTTCAGTGTGTTCAGCCCGTAGGAAGCTGCTCAGTCCTAACAAAGTACACATTTAAGATACTTGATATTACAGATGATAACAGTACCTGATGGAAAATGACCTTCCCGCTGCAAATGCACTGCGTGAGTCTACCAGTTGAGAACTGTGTCAAGACTGGGTACTTGTGACTCAATTAAATGCAACCCTGTGGATTCAGAGCAGCCCTCCCAACAGATAACTCTAGTTGAATGGGGGCAGGCCAGAGTGCATTGCCTTTACAGCGGTGTCACACACTGTACTCCTACGACTCTTCAGAGTTTACTGCATACCAGATATATTGTTCTCTTTGAGGATGGCAAGATGCTTCTCCCGGATCCGCTTGACATACTCGAGGGATATGTAGTAAATCTTACTGCAGATGCCTTCAACAGAGTCCTTTGCTGCCGCAGACACGTGGGGCCCACATTGTTTGCGCAAGTGCTCCAGGCGGTCCTGCAGAATCAGAAAATCCCTTACACAACCCACAACCAGATTCCCTTGAGGTATGCAGAGCCTTCACTTCCATTTCACAGAGCAAAGGAAAGCAATCACAGCCTTCTCAAGGAGGACCCTTTTCTGGCCCTAAATGCCCCTCCTCCTTTCTAGGCTCACTGCACTCAGCTGCACAAAGAGAGGGATACAGACCATGTAGTCCTCCTTAGAGGCAGAGTGGTCCCGTCGCAGCCAGCTGAAGGTGTCCTCTACATTCCATTTCACCACTTTTCTGCTGTCTGGTGATGCACTCCTGCACACAATGGAGAGCAAAATTTTACCCACAGCTGTGTGGCAAAATATTCCATCCCACCACAGCGCTTTTCTATCAGTGGGGGAAAACAGCTCTGCCGTCGCTTCCTCAAGGCCCTACCCTGTCACTCCCATCCAGGCCTCCTGTGGAAAGTGTTCCCAGACATTTGTGTGACTAGGGACTGCCATGTTCTCTCCAAAACCCAGTGTAGCTGGCTGCTGTCCTTTCTGCAACAGGAGAGGCGGATAAAGGATTTATCTAACAGGGAAATGGTCCTTTTTCCTCTTGCCTCTCCTTTTCAAATGCAGCCACTGTTAGGAATTTGTGACCGTGAGAAAGCTACCCTGTTAACAAGCTTTGTACTGTTTAAACAAGGCTATCTTCCTCAATTCGGTCCTACATTCAGTGGTATAATAAAATGCCACTTTAAATTCGTTGCCCTTTAACAGCACTGACTGCCCAACCATCCTTGCAATATGTGAGGGATAAAAAACGTAAGAAGGCATTCCACGTCCAGTATTTCACAGATTCTCCCTTGTCTGCCTATACATTCAGCTTCCCAATATTTGATCTTACTGTAATATTATTACCAAAAGATGCCTCCAGCATTACGGTTTTTCTTCAGTACGTTCCTAACCTCGTTTTATCTCGGTAAGAAGATAACCGATGCTGAATATAGTGTGATGCAGCAGCCCCTTCTAAAAATTCCTGTATGCTTTTTCTGTTTTTTAAAAGTGACAGAACTGTAAAACTCATACCTGGATTCAATAAGCCGTTTTGCAGCCTCAGCATACTTGAAAAGCAATCTCTTGGCTTCCTCACGGAACTTGATTCTGGATAACCTGAAATAAGTATAAATTCATAGGCATTAATTTCACAGCTGCCATGAAGGCATGGAGGCCCAGTCCAGCTCCCACATTTTACATCATTTTGCACCCTACCACTTCATCAAGGAAAGTAAGACACAAAAGCACAGAATGTCAGACAAATCATTGGATTGGTCCAAGACAAAAAGCACAGGAAGGTGCCCTGTTTGAACCATACCTGATAGGAATGTCATTCATGATTTCTCTAAACATGGAGGGAGACACTACTGGCTCGCAGTCACTCGGTAACAGAGGATCTGTTCCTTTGTCAACGACCTTCCGCTCCAACATCCAACGATTAAAGGACTCCCTTGGTGGGTCAATCCCTAGAAGCACAGAAAAAGGGTCTAATTAATATGGTAGTATTGAAGTGATGCCCAGAAATTCTGATAAGGATCATCACACTGGAGGTCTGCTTAATGAATTTATAACCCTAAAACAATGTCACAGGGAGTTTAACCACAACTACCACAAAAAGAGGTGATCACAGGGAAAAGAGACAGACATAAACCAGAAGGAAGAACACTATAGCACTGCGGAGCTGAAAAGACAAATAAGGGGAGACGAGCAAGAATTTACCTTCTCGCTGTTGGCAGAGCTCACGATAATGCTGCCGCAGCTTGAGAATAAGTTGAGATCGAAGCAGCTCCACCTCGGGGTGTGGAGACAGCACTTCAGATGGTGCCCGCTGCTTAATCACCGCATTTGTCTGAATATCCAGGTCCCAGTATACTCTACGGCAGAAGCAAATGTCATCAGGATGGCCAGATCATTAGCTAATTACCAAATGTCACTTCTGAAGATGTCTCCTTGAGCTGTTTACAAGGCAGGAGGAGACCCAACTACCAGGATTCTACCCTCCGTGCAAAGAGGGTGGGTGGGGGGGGGTTATATCCTTCAAGTTCTTCTGCAAATACATTTGGAAAACCAGCTGTCTCTAACCTACTACCACGGAAAGAACAGAAGACAAACAGAGACAACTCACTCTGTTGGTCGTAAAAGAGCTGCCTGCTGTTTATCTTCAGGCGAAACACACCATGCCTTCAGAACAGAGGTCCCTGGAATACTGGGAGAGATGGGGACTGACTGAGCAGCTGGGTTCCCTGGAACATCCACCTGGGAGTGGAAAATATGTATTACTGCATCACAAAGAAAGGTAAACATGAAGGAAGCCCAGCATACCTAACAGTCCTTTAGTAGCACATCACTCAGTATACCCAATGAATTGCTAGAGCATGTTTGACCTGCTGCTGGCGTAAGTTAATGTGGACATGCAAGCTACCACATTTCTCAGACAGAATCTGTTCTCTAGCAACTCTCATACTCCACCTCAGGCTGTAAGAGAAACGGTAACTTGGCAGGAGCTGCCTGAGAGGATTCTGCTCTTCTATTTTCTGAATGCCAGTTGTCACAGTCTGAGTTATACTAGGATGGCCTGACCTTGCACAGTTCAAAAAACCAGGTCCAAGCTCCAGGCCCTCTAGCTTTGTTTGAACAATGCCCTTAATCTTATTAGTTTCAGAAAACCAGACCCACCTTAGGCTTTTTCACACTGTTGCCACTGGGTGGAACCTCCTCAGAGAATCTCCTCTTCCTCTGCTTGCTCTCCACAGAGGTCTCTATCATTCCACCTTCCAGTGGCATAGGAGCCGCATTCAATCCCAGAGGGTCTGACTAAGAGGGTCCAAAACACGGTACTCATTAGCTCATCAACTCCCACTGCAGAGGCCCAAATGAAGGCAATAAGCCCTCTTATCTTTCCATTTCACTGCCCCAGGCTCCTGAGTAGATGTAAATAAGGACATTAATGTTGACAACTGCAGAAAGTTACAGAATTCTCTCATAGACTTCTGCCTGTAGGTTTGTTTTGTTTTTTAAAAACTTAGATGTAAAACAAATGCATCAAACTCTCCCAGGTTGAATATTCTTTGGGCAGTGCAGCACTACATCTGTAACAGCACTATCTGAGCGTGCACCTGGATAAGGAATGTTTCATCAGAACCGAGCCAGCCTCTGGATTCAGAGGCGTTTGAAAGTACAGAAGACCCGCCCACACACGTAATCTCAAGTCTACAACAGCACAGCATCAGCCCCTGCAGATTATCCCAGTTGTAGCATAGCCCTTTGGAATGACTGCTTACTTACAATGACATCGTGCTGTCCCAGAACAGGCATTTCCCACAGAGACTGGTTAGTGAAGCGATTGAAGTAGTAAGGGCGATTTTCCCGCTTGCTCCAGCACTTCTCCCAGCCAGCCTGCACCAGCTCATCTGTGAAGACAGTAAGACAGTCAGAACAAGATCGGTCCTGAATAAAAGCCCTGCCCTTCAGGTCCCCATTATTATCACAGCACACTCTGAATTACACATTATTCCTAAATTTCCTTGGTGGTCCCCAGTTTCACCTTCTTCTCCCTGCTACCTGAGTCCTTCAGAACTCCATATTGGGCCTTCTCAAAAGCAGAACCAGTACCTGGGAGATCCTGCACCAATCGCATAGGTTTGGGGGAGCTGGGCTGGTTCTGGTTGGAGGTGCCAGGTGAGTGACTCATTAGAGATGCTTCCTCCGCAGGGCTTCCGTGATTCTCATTGGCCATTTCTCAGCAACTGCACTAGAGAAAACACACATAAAATCTGTGTTACAACAGGAAAAATCCAAGATCCAATTGGCCCACTCAGCTATAACAGTAAAAGTTCATTCTGACAATAAACCAGGACTTGAACCACTACATACAAAACAGCACCCAAGTCCTGAAAATACCTAGGTTTGCTAACCTAGATACAAACCAGCTAAGAGGAACGCTGAGCTTTAAAGAGCACAAACCAGGGAGATTAGTTGGGCAGCACTAAAAACGCACAGTTTTCAGCTAGCTCTCTCCTAAGAGGGCAGTGTTTGATCCCATACCTCAGGACTGAGAGCATAAATAATGCAATTCTCAGAACACACTCTGAACACTGTACCACCCTCTACCATATTCATAATATTAGCTGCATCTGTTGCCCTTAGAGGTAGTTTATATCAACATTTACAGAAACATAATTCACATAGTCTAAACAAAAGGCATTTATTAAAAAACTTCTGCCATATAAAATAGCTCCAGTGCTCCTCTAATAACAACTTCTGTAGTTCAGAGAACCACAGGCTAAGAGTCAGAAACTCCTGGATTTTGTTCCTCAGTCTATCCCAAGCTAAATGTAATACCTCAGCCAGATTATTTTAGCCCTTAGTACTCTTTCATCAGCATAACAACAGTTATGCAAAAGAAAGTCAGTTGAAACAACAAAGCTCTATTTAATCATCATTAACTGTTGCCAGCTGGAGAGAAAAGCCAGCCAGGCTTTTCCTCTCTTAGTCACCCTTCTTCCCCCTCAGGGAAGTTACTGAAACACCACTGCCGAGTCAAGCACTACAGATTGCTCCTCTTTTGACAGCCCTAAATGCACTGGCAATAACTGGGGCGGGGACAGGGACGACAAGGCTTTTTAAAGAATCACCATCTATTTCAGTTACTTAACTCTATTCAGGCCTTCGGAGGCACCCTACACAACAAAGTTCGGCAGCAGAAGCACAATCTTGTCTGTAAGTTTTTTTAACGGGGCTGGATAACAGAACAGCCCTAACAGTAGGCTCCCTCGTACTTCATCTCTTAAATTAAAACTCTGGTTTGGATTGCACATTAAATTAATTTGGGTTTATTCATCCTTGCTCCCCCTTCTTGTCCATAAAAAACATCACTGGCCCTTTCAGAAGAGCAGAATGGTAGGAGATGTTAAATCAAGAATTAGATGTTAGGTCAAGAATTACCAGGAACTAGCTAAGTCACCAATAATATTGTGACATCAGTGCGATGTAGGCTAGGACTGAGGAACACTTGGTCCTTCCAAAATTTCAGAAGATGTTTCAGAGGCCCGCTTTCCAAGGGCAGGTGTGGAACATTGCAGAAACCTGGAGTTACAGCCTCTGTTCAGAACAAGGCAGATGACAGTATTTAAGCCCACAGGTGAAAGCATCTGCTACAAAGACTGCACTAATGCAATCATGTACGCTTAATCACCTCAGCAGCTGAGGATGTTGCATAACATTTGTTTACTCATGCTTTCTTCTGAACTCTAACCCCACTGTGACCTCTATAATCATTTTAGCTAGCTGCCACAGAGGTAGCAAAGTTAGCTCAACCATCCTGAAGAAAACAAGGCAGCAGTTCAGATTCACTTTACGGTCATTCAGTGCGAGAAACCACATGAGTCCAAGGGTTCCTAGGGCTCCAAGCCATGAACTTCATTATGTATTCCCTAAGACAGTAACCGGTTTTTAAGAGTTTCATCTCTCCTCCTTAAAAACACATAACTACACATGCAGTTGCTGACATGTCTTGCACATTACATAGACGTTATAATGAATTGGTAAATACTGAGGGGACCATACCTCCTGAAGCGAACCAAGTATGCATTTCAGGAAGTTACAGATAATACCAGGTATCAAGATCTTCCTAGGCTGGACAAGGCACACCACGTGCAATAATTTGCCTGTGTTTTTCACCACTGATGGCTCAAAACAACTGTTAAATAGGGTAGTTTTTTTGCCTTCTCCCATTTGTGGATGAACTAAAACGGAGGAAGTAAGTGAGAAACTTTATCACATTATCAGTGTCGATGAGCATTACATCGAGGTATTTGTAAGCTCTGGGAAAAGAAAAAAAGCTAACTAACAGGAACCTCTGACAGAAGGAACTCTACTCGTATGTCAATAGTATTGGGACTTAGACAGTGAAAGGGATCAAGAGTAAGCATTGAGGTGATTATGGTATTGTTTTTATACACCACGGCGATGCATACAGCACTTAACAGACATAGTAGAGCACCGTCCCTGCCCAGAGAGCTTACAACCTAGGAGCAGCAGCACAACCAGAGAGACCACAGCCAGGTGGAAGAGACACAAAGTAAAGAAGTACAGCAAACAGGATCGTTATTTGTTTCCATTTCGTCACCGTAGGATTTTACAAGAGACAACAGCGGATGCAGACAAAGGAAAGCAGTGACAGCCCCATGGGACACGGCATGGTGCCCCCTTGTTCCCGAGCCAAGGCTGCTTCGTTAGGCTGGAAAGCAGGCCAGTGCCTCCTTCCATCAGCGCTTCTCCCTTTCCTGAGGGCCAGTCTCCACGCCTGGCTAGGCGAGACTAGGGCTGGGCAGAGCACAGGGCTCCCGAGGTGGTGCGCACACGTGCGGGGACCCAGGGGCTGGGTCTGCCGAGGGAAAACATGCTGCCGGGCAGCGCAGAGGCGACTCCCGCAGCTGCTCTCCTGGAGGCGGCGGAACAGAGCTCCTC